ATTTATCAAGCGCACACCGGCCGAGCGAGCAATAACAGTGGGGCCCTTGCTGCCGCCGCCGCCGCCGCCGCCACCGAAGAAAGTCTGGCGTGCGCGCGGGGCGCAGAGAGGCCGAAATCGGAATTTATAAGCAGAATTAATTAGACTAAAAACCACTGCAGCTTTTCCACTTACACACTACCCGGACGACGGCGGCGTACAGGCCGAGCGCCGCCGCCGCCGCTGCTGTTTTAATTTACAAAAGCCAAACTTAATTCTTGTTCCACGACTGAAAAGGAATAAAGAGAAATGTAAAGGAAAATTAAAACGATTCAAGTCGCGGGAGGCGGCTTTGATTCGGTTTAGGCTAAGACCTTCTCCGCGCAAGCCATTCGTAAATCCGTGCGTACTTCTTCGCCTGGCGCCAATAGAAGAAGGCGCTCGTAATCTCGGACCCTCTTTTCTCTTTGTTGCGATACAGCCGTGATTCCGCGGGAAACACTTCAATTTTCGCAAGTATATAACTATACAATATGCGCTCGCATATTGTGACGTCATGCCTGCTATCACATTATCCAATCGCATCCTCTCTGTTTGCATACAACTACTGCGGTAGTTTTACGAGCTGCACCCATATCAAGCGGTTTAAATTGAACGATCGGTATGGCATTAAAGTTTGTGTGTTGCTGTGCTTGCGTATTGGCTTAAACTGGTCTCTGAATCGAACGAAGCAAGCGCAAATAATCTTTGCCAAACTTTATCGCAACTGCTCGACGGACCGGGGAAGAGTCAAGAGTCGCCAAACAAGATTATCAAAGTACTCAGGTGGTCAGGAAAAGCAATTAGTCCACTGTGCCAAAATGGCTTTAACTTTTCCCTCCCACAGGAGCTAGAAAATAGGCAAAAATTATTTTTTATTTCACGAGAAACAAAAAAATAAAAAAAAGTCAAATTGTCGCGAATAGGATTGCGACAAATAAAGCGATTAGAATGGAAATCCTTGAGTAAATCGAGCATGCAACAAACGAACGCAAGCATACATCATATTTGCGAGGGTTTATTTCAGAGTGCGTGCCTTTTTGCATTATTCCCATCCGCTATTCGCCCCCCGTTCCACGACGATTTTGTCTTTTTAACGCACGATCTATGCGAACGTACGCACGTCGTAAAAATGCGAAACCCATACGTAACGCAGCGCCCGAGTTAAAGGAAAGAAGCAAAGCTTATACGTTTCCTCTCACTAATAAAAATTACAATACGGACGAAGGCAGACGACTGCTAAATAAATCCAAATTCCCCATTTCCTCCCAGTTTAACCCGGGACTATACAAGTTTAATCTGCAGAGCCACTGCGGCGAAACTCGTAGCTTACACGTATCGGAAGCATTAAATAGCAGCGCGCAGAAACTGAAACGTCCTTCCCGAGGACCTTCCTTACGTTCACTTACTTACTTACGTACGCATGGGCATAAGCGACACATATTTCGCTCCATCCGCACCAAGAAAATGACATCGCAACGTTTTGGCGAAGAAGAAGAAGTTTCCTATTATGATAATTTGGACGCAATGCGTGCCCCGCACAAACCAAGGATGCGACTTTCAATTTAGTCGTCCGGGGGGGGCATAGCGAAGTGCGCCGCCCGGCCAGGATTATGTTGGCGTCGCGAATCTCCGGCGCCGCGGCATCTCCTACGCCCGGTTCGCATACGCATACAAATAGTGGAGAAAAGGTCCCGGGACGTGCCTGGCTTTCGGAAACATGCTTATTTCATGCCTGATTATCAAACAGTCAGTGCATTTAACGCTAGCGAAATGGATGGGACCTCGGATGAACAACTTCTTTCGCTAATGCCTTGTGCTCTTCTTTTCGGGGGCAGAGAGCGGCTTGGGAGTCTTTTAAGTAAGTCATTTGCCTGCCGACCGTCAATTCAATTAAACCAAACGCAACGTTCGAAATATTTCAATCACAAAAATTGGTTTTAAATGTTTTTTCGGACCATGAAAGTGTTTTACAATGATTTAATGACCTGCTATCGACACGAGGGGAATAAGAAACGATTACTTTTATTTTTTATCGGTTTCGTATTACTTAAGTGTTTTTTATTTTCGAACGCACGCACGAAACGAAAACTAGTGCATTATTTTTATGACGCGTTTTTTACGATTTATTTCATAAATATTACAAAAATAACCAGTTTAATTATATCCTGTTGTAGAATAATACACTGAAAGGGAACTATCGTCTCGATGATGAAGTCTATTACATTGCGTCTGGTGTATTCGGCTGCGAAGGGAAATGGAATTATAATATTCTTGCATTATATTATGGCTAGGCGTACGTGAGTATAGGTTGAATGGGTGCGAAAGAAGCATTAGGCATGCACCTCTCTTCCATGCAAAGTTCATAAATATAACCGTAGCGTCCGCAATATCTGCTGCCAGATGCCCCCGGACGTAATATGAAGAACTGGCATTACTGCACATTCCCAGACCACAGCCATGCACAGTTGATGAATCATGAAGAAGTAGTGTACAGGAGAAGAACAGGTTTATGTTGGTGTGATGAAATATTTCAGAATTCAATTTTACATTGCGCCAAATTCAGCAATATAAAAGATATCATCAGCTACCTCGTTGGTGTTTGTTTGAGCTAATGAAACGACACCGCAAAACGAAAGACACTTATCAGTTAGGTGGTTATGCAAACTTTCTACTTACGCATCACTTTAAACGACTATGAAAGTTGGTTTAATTTTCGTCGTGGTTATTTGCGTACGGTTTACATGGTGGAAATCGTCACGGTTCGAAAACAGCGTTTTTGTTTGCGCCAGCACCACCTTGGAGGAGAGAGATATTCAAATACTTCAATTGCTTTAACGTCCCGCGCGCGCTTAGAAAACCGCAACGTATGAATGTGCGCACCCGTTAAATGTTTCTGGCGTATGCGCGCCACTCGAATCACACTCGCACTATAACAACTCCTTGAAGCAACCCACTCCTGTCGGGAGAATGGTTTTGCTTTAATTATCCTTGACGATGAGTGCATGGGGACTGGCGAGCACACACCAAACACATTATACATTCATAATATCACAACTATTCCAGAAAGTACAAGTACTTTAGGACACCAGTGGCAAACTTCTTTAATTATTATTTTCGAGTGTTATCACCTACATGCATGCAGAATCTCCTTGTTCTTCTATTGGATGACATTTTGCATTGTAATAATTATTATTATTACAACATTGTTAATCTTTGAGCGGTTAAAACGCTAAACAAAGAAGTAAATCACTCGTTGGTGCACAAATAATTTACCTTGGATGCATGCGGAGACTAAACGGGCAGTGATGGACGACACGGCGATGTTTGCCAAGTCACAGGTCGCCATGGGGCACCGACGACAAGGCGCTTTCTAAATAACGATTACTACCATTCACACCGCACACACCAACAAACAAATATTTACTGGCGAGCGTGAATACGCTTTAATATGTATATTTATGTCCGTACGCGAATACTACTCGTGCGGTGAAATACGAAAAATTGCCGAAAAATATTTTCGTGTTAATTTAGACTCCAGCCAATTGTCTGCGGGTGATGTGTGTATGGCGAAGTTGACGCTTGCTGGAATTACGTTATAATCGAATTTAATAGCGGGCAAAGTGTATCATAAACAGGCACCACTCGCAGCACACTGAAGGGTCATGTTTGTTTGCTACAGACGAGCACGGCCAATAGACGCACACGCGATGAGCAAAACCATTACTTGCGAGACGCAGTTAAACAGTTGCAAGAAATGTACTTGGTGTGTGGCTGGTGCTGCTGTTGCCAGCGGAAACCTGCCGGAGGAAATCCGACAAAATGGAATGATAACGAGTAGTCGTCGGTCCGTGCACATCACACGCTTAACACTAGCACAAAATATCGCATTGTTTCATCATCTTGATCTGTTTTCGATGTGTACGTGTTTGTAGAAAGAGTGAGCGAGGATATTTTATATATGTCTGTGTAGAGCTGCCGCTGCCGCCGCCGCCGCCGCGAAAGCACGTCACGTCCTCTGGTCGGTTGGTTGGCACACGTTTCTCTTATTTCCGTTTACTTACACTCCTCTCGACATGACTTCAGCCTGTAACTTTAAATCATCTTCTTTTCGCGGAAAACGCGTGTTGCTATTACACGAAACATAACACCATATAATTTTCAGGAGCATTCGACTTCAAATCTTTTTTCGCAAACGCAAAAACACAAACAAACAAAAATTCTCTGCATCCCCATCGAATAAATATCTTAAATTGACGATAAAACTCATTGAAAATGTCGACGAGGAGAAGAAGGCGTTCACATATCGCTGAATTACTGTGCCAGCTATTGTCGTCACCCTCCCAACTAGTCATCAAAGATGTAGACTTGATACAATTTCAGCGCTGAATGAATTAAGACACGACGCTCAACTTTTGGCAGTTTCCACATTTTGTGTATGCATGAAATACGCTGCATGCACAGCCAGACAATAAGCCTCCGTCGCGGCCTAACTAAACAGACAGACATTAGCTCTGATAAACGATTATGTATTTGGTTGCAATCCAGCAGGCTATGACCTTATGCGCCTCGTCATCTCGCGTTTTTGGCAAGTGAAGAAACAACGATTCGTTTAATTTTATTGCCCGTATTTATGCGGGATACTAATGATGTGCGCATGGAGATTTTCGTTGAATCAATTTTCGTATAATTACAAGGCTAGTATTCTCGATGTGAGTTTCTCGGGAGGGTTTCCTTGAGGGATTTCGCAATTCGCCTCAATTGACAAGCGGACAGCGGTCAGTGAAGTACATGTACAAACATTTTGATGCCTCCCCGGAGACGGTTAGCTTTCATTAAAACCAGATATAAATTAACCGAAGAACATTTGACCGAAAAGAGAGATGTTATCACATTGCAATATATAGGACGATCCCCGGGGACCGCTCGACTCGCGGCTAATATAACTCGAATAAAATGCTTGAGCAGAAAGACAAACTCACCGTTTTCGTTGGAGCGGGTGGTATCGACGGATTCGGGATAGATGACAGCTGTATCACTGCGCTGCAAGTACACTTGCAGATCCTGCTGCTGACCAGAGACCTGTTCAGGTGGTTTATGGGAGTTTTGGTTCTCTGTTGTCAGTTCGTTGTGGTTGGTGTCGGGACTCATTGAGGACGCCGTTGCGGTTTCTGCGATCTCGGTTAGAATCGAATTGTACTGCGCGGAGCCTTCGGCCGCATTGGTTTCCAACTCAACTGAAACAAACAAGGCATTAATTAATAAAAATATATTTGTTATGTTCCAATAAGCGTGCGTGCGTAGTAGTAAAGAGCGGAGGAGAAAGCTCCAAGAAAATGGGAATATTTTAGCAACGCGCGCGTGCACTGATGGGTAAGGGAGGATTGTGCCCAATCCCATTTGATTATGCGAGGACACGCGTATGAGCCAGCAGACGACGTCCGATGAGAGCGGCCACGATACCGTCACAGGACGCTTCGACACGAATTCAATCATATTTTCCATCTTCACGTAGAAATAATAATTTAGCGTGCAAAGATTGCCCTCCCGCGCATTCATTTAACTAACTCGAGCAGATCCCAAGGATAAAACCGATAGTCGACATTAGAAATGGAATGGCTTCGTTAGTTATTCCATGTTAGGAGAAGGAGTAATCTTGGATTAGCAACGTCCGATTCTTGCTTGAAGAGGAGATTCCTATGCATAGCACTTACCACTCTGCGGCGAGTCGTACGCGCAAACAAAAAGAAACGTACATTAATTTAAATAATTTTGAAGCCCCCACAATACCCACACACCAGTATGACATGCCGTATTAAGTAGATGGAATTTATGTCCCTGAAAACTTTATAAATCTTCGCCCATATAAGTAGAAAGCGTTTAGCAAGTCAAATGATTCCATGTATATGCGGTGCCATGCCACCACAGGAAAAGAGAGGAGGAGAGGAGAGGAGGCGGTTAGAATCACTGCTGATGGATATGCCCCAACGCTAAACACTCGACCAGCCCCACGAGGATGAGGATGAGGATGAGATTCCGTCCACATATCCACCCTCACCGCGCGCACACGTCGTCAAACACGCAAAATAAGAAATAGCGGTTTTGGAATATGACAGCACAGTGAATCAGTAAGGAGGCATAAATATAAAATATTGATGTGTGATTGTAAAATATCTCCGGTGCGATTCGCACCCACTTGGAAATAGGATGATGCCCTGGGTGCAAACACGCAGGAACCAATAAAAGTATATTGCGGACACAGTGACACAGCACCCAAAACCCAAGTGCGTGCGTGTACACCGCTATCCGCACGCCCGCAGACCCGCTGGTAAAGAGTCCATAACCATAATTCATCTTCAAAGGTCGATCATCCAACGCAAACCCTAGAGCCGCGCGTGTGCACCTATACCTTCTTGCACGCCAGCCATCAAATATCTGATGATATCCTCTGGTCCCGAGAGATTTTATGAATCCATGCGGAGGCACGGACCAATCTTAATATAATATATAAAATCCTATCACCATCAACAACACACGACCACAAACAAATCGAAAACTACGTGCAAACTCGCCAATATATTACGGCGACATTAATATCTGCGAGAGAAGAAAAACATCGGCACATCACTTTTTAAAATCCAATCTTCCGCCTTCTTCAATCTTCGAAGTAATAAAAATAATATATACGTATAAACCTGGCAGACTCCACCAACTCAACTCGGTGTCAATTGCAGTTTTATGTATTCTTATTTTTGCGACGCCACTGTAAACGCCGGAACAGCCCCAGCTTGAGGGATGAGGGAGAGCAAGAAGAAGAACAACACATAAATAAATTTTCCCCGTACAACGAAAAATACAACCCCGGTGCGCGTTTGATTACAACACTTTAATTCAATATCGAAGTATGCATAGAATTTATGCTGGCTCTTAAATAATACGCCGAAGAAGCGCGTCTCAAACTTTTAATCAATTTTCGAACATGAAAAAGATTCTTTCGTTCTTTCCGTGGCCGGGGCAGGAAAAAGGAAGGAGAGGAAGGAAGGGGTCCGCGGCCAGGAGACACAGCGGCCCCCTGCGATGGTTATTATTCGTGCGGGAGGTTTCTTTCTTTCCGTTGGTCGCTCAAGGCGGAGACGCAGCGCAAAGTTATAGGAAGCGGTGCACAAAAAAAGATATGGACTGCACCCGCCGCCACGACGGCCGCAGCAGCCAGAAAATTTGCATTTCGTTTGCGCCAACACCACGCCGTCCACCCCGAAATGTTGTAACAACTCTCGTTGTTGCGGCAAAGTCGTATCATCGTGTTTACATACAAATCAGTTTCGAAGAGTCGTGAGCATTCGGCGTTCGGGGCCAAATCATAGATTTCAGCGATTACCGGCTCTCGCAATTGCGATTTTTCATTCTTGGCACCCACAATAAATGTAATTATTTGAGGAGATGGCCAAGGACAATCATCCAAAACTTTGCTCGTAGTGGAAAAGTTGTCACAGCGCGATTAGAACGACGTAAAACCCTGCGCGAAAACATTTAATCTACTTATTGGATCAATTCGGCACATTGTGTCATATTAATAGCGACAGACTGGCAACAAAAAAAAAAACTAACACACAGTTCAGGGGATCAATTGGATTATGGCGCGCATGATGTGAAATTATTAAATTAAAAGAAAGCGCACCCCTTGGACCATAGTTCAGTAGTAGGGAAGTAAGTAGTGCTTTCATCGGGGTTGCAACACTAACTTCGCTTATTTACGGTCGTTTGCCCATCGTCGAGGGGTTGGTCATTAGAAATATCATTTTTCATAATTAATTTCCCAACCCTCTTCCTAGATTTAAGGTGCATCATGCTCAGTGACTCCGTTGGTTGAAACCTTTTAACCTTTTGTTTAATTCTTTTTGGAAATTGATAGATGATCTGTTAGATCTGCACCTTCTTCTTCATGATGCATTTTAACACCTTTTTTTTATCGGCGCCCGAGTTTTTTCCCGAAAAGTGACGCGTCGAGTCCAAAGGGAGGTAAAATATGATAGAACCTTCGGTGAGCACAAGCAGCACCCAAAGGAACAGCCGCTCGGAGCAGTATAATAATTGATGTGCGGTCCGCGTAAGATAGTTCTGATTGATGACGCGGTTATCTTGCGACCGTGTCCGGTTTACGATGACCAGCATATTGAGACTTCCTTCCGCAAACTGCCTGCTTGTCAGGCGTGCATATCGATGATGTTTTTGACTGTCACAACGACAAATCCTTTTTATTAATTCATTGATCTTTCGACGAAAATTGAATAAACAGTCATCTGCAATAGTGCACTACATGGAGAGGGGAATGGATAGAGATGATGTCATGTGTTGTGAAGCGGTGTCAGTTCGCGATGCGGTGACGCTGTTCTTTACGGACCAGTGCACTTCATGCAGCGAGTGGACACCGTGTCAAAATGTTCGCGTCACAGACTCAGCGCGCATTTACTCTTCTTCAAAATGTCTGACTCTACAAATGTCAAAATATCCTCCAAGAATATATCCAGTTATATTGACGAAATACTTAATTTAGATAAAGTACCTCGTGTAGATGAAGTCGTCCGACGACCCGTATGCGTGCCAATTGAAGCAATCAACGGAGGTAGCCACACAATGCGATAATAATAAACGCTCACCCACCACGCACGCATACGGTGTGTGTGGCGTTTGTTCGTACGACAGCTGCAGGTATCCGGGAGCGGACGGAGACTAATCAAAACCAATTTAGACACTCTTAATACCTATTAGCCAAACGCATCAGCAGCACCAGTAGTGAACCCGTATGATCCACGTACGTAGACAATGTCGTCTCGTGTGTTCACCATGGGGGCACCTCGATGAACTCTCCATCCTCATATTACTTCAATTCACCTTCAATTAGTGTTTTAATTCGAATTGTATTGTTCTTACCCCTTGGACCAACCGATGTAATCAAAGATAAGATAAAGGTCCAAGTCCAACAGTTGGTCCAATGTGGGTTAACGTCCGAAGTGAGGTGAAAATAATCTAATTATTACCAGAGGGTATTGTAAAGAATTAAATGCCACACGGGGCTAAATGTCGAATGCGTAATGTGAGAAACAAAAAAAAAAATGCGAATCAAAGCTGAACAGCTTTCGCACCCCGGTCTATTGTTGTCGGCGTCATTGTATGTCGGGGACACTCACTCGCATTGGGGTTAATATGTTTTAGCCGCGTGTGCCATGGACTTCTTATTCAGTATTGCATATTTGGAATTATAACGTTCGCGACATAAATCACAATTAAACGTGTAGCTACGAAGGGGGTGGCGTATTCAACGTTTGACATGTCGCATCCCCGACATAAATATAAGTATAAACAACATGACTTTGCGATCAGGGTCGAACTGTGTGTCACATTGGTGTATATGGGATAGCATTGAAAGGCCGACACTGTTGTAGACGAGTATCACCCTAGGAAGCTCGGAAAAGAAGAGACCGGTCGGGCTCAGTTATGGTGTATTATGGAATCAGTGATGGTCGAGTGGTCGCGTGGCTTTTACAATGTCACAAGCACGAGTTCCCATCGATGCATCCTTTCAGCGGCGAGCAGGGAATAGAGGAGAGTTGGAAATGCGTGCGCCTCGTCCATGACCGACTCCCGACCGACTGCAACGGAAAGGACCATCAACTATGATGAATCGCCTTCTGCGCTAGTTGCGCGCTCGTTCAATGGAATGCACACACGCGCGCGCGCGCTGATCTGGACAAGTGAAAAGACAATGCAACAAAACAAGTGGCGAAAGTTTTATTTAATTGTCGAAGAGACTTGGAGCAAATCACAACTTTTTTTCTTTTCCCCGAAAGAAAAAAAAAGTGGAAATGTATCCCAATGAGTAATAATTAATGAAAAGCGAATAACTCTTGGAGTATTGCAGGGAATAAATCATATTTAATGCGAGATCATGTGCGGTTGCAGGTGTTTACTCGCCTTGCCAGGGATATCGAGAGCCAGTTACATGTATTACCTGCCAAACCAACATGTGCCGGTGAAATATATGCTCGTACGTCGTAAGTGTTGCGCGGGTGTAATGTATGCGAGAGTACACACAACATACGCTGTTATAGAAAGTAAACAGACATTAGCATATACACGATTCGTGGTCCAGCCGCTCGTATCCTTGAGGTTGAGGATGAGGTGCAGAAATGGCGTGCGATAGACGTGTGCGCACGTCCAGTTTAAGTGACGTCCAAGT